GATATTCCATTTATTTAATTTCATAACAAACACAAATTTAACACGCATGTCAAATAAAAGTGATTGCGCGTAAAAACTAAATGTCGCAAAATTATGATATCTGTGATCTTTTTTTCTAAATCAACGTATACCGACGTTGACTTATATAACAACATGGCTGTTTGATTTATCGTTGTACATTTAATTTTGTGGTAGATGTAAGTCTTAAGAAATCTTAGCTCGTTACTAGGCAAGGTCTGTTGCAATCCACAGGGAAATTCAGCAAGACTGTTTGCACTAACAATGGGTTCATTAATCGTTTATAAATTGTTATCTCAGCGCTGACCATAACGAATACGATGAGCTTCAAACTAATATTTTATTAATATCTAAAAAACAACATATGATGCAGTTTCTTCATGATATCTTACAAACACACGTCCAGGGCGCCAACTATCTTTCTGAACATTTATAAACAACATTAACGTAATGGAGTATCACCAAAATCTCTGGACTTAAATATGATAGAAGCTACACTGAAATGTCAAAGAAGCTTTACGGGGTGAAATGAACCGCATCTTAAGAAGTGTTGGTACTGTGCCACAAACTAGCGCCTACGAATATGCGAAAATTGTTCAAAAGTGAATAAATCTAACTAAATATTACCAAAAAAAAGATTGGGTCAAATCCATGCGACAACGCTGCCATGTTGAAATTAACAGTCCAGGTGGCCATACGACATTTGAATAATTTTAATGGTCATTTTTTTGCGACATTTGCTTAAAACGCATTATCACATTTATTGGGCATGTTCTTTAAATATGTGTTTCTGATGAAATTAAATAAATGAAATATCATCATATCTCTCAACTGTATTTAATGAAAATTTCAGGATGATCGTACCAAAAATGACACACATATCAGACCATTTATGCATGCACACCTATAAGATTTGTTAATTGTACTTCTAAACTGTTCTCAAAAAGAAGACATCTTTGTTTATATTACTTTTCTCATCAGTACACATTCTTCCATGCGGTTTCAATGACCATGCGATATAGCTTGCTTTGTATGTCTGGGGTGGTTTGAAATTGTGTCTGTTCCTTTACTATAATAATAAATATACGTATGTGTTTGTCTGTTCCTTTGCTAAAAGGTCGGTTTTATGTCGGGGACTGCGTCCTGTGAACGTTGTCTTTGCCTTGTTGATCTTTATTCTTGTTTTTTAATGTACCCATTGTCTAGAATTACCAATCTAAGAATTCGATTTGTTAGAAATTGTGTCGTAGCTGTATGTTTTTAAACATCAAACTCCTTGATAAAGAGTGGTTTAAAACGCTGGAGGTTGATAAGCTTTTTGCAATAGATATGCTATGCTTTAATTTTTGCTATTTGCAAACTTGTTAATTTTGCTGTTTTGGGCGTTCTTTAGAGATTTGATTTTTCATTTTTGCGTATATTTGTGATTTCGCATTTTTTGCATTCTCGCCACCATAGCTATTTCTTATCAATATTTCTCTTTTTTGTCAAGTTTATTTTATACCAAAAATTGGGCAAATTTCTCAACACAACTTGCTTTTAAAAGTGTGCTCCAAATAAACGAAAGTTTAGCTACAAGTTTTTACGAAATATATACTATTAAGTATTACTGTGGTTGTAGCCTACAACCACAATAATACTTATAAGTATAAATTTCGTAATCATGCATTGACATTAAACCTATGGGAAGGTATGAATATTTGACGAAGAGTTTTTTTTAACAATACATAATTACCTCTTACAATGTCATCAAATGAATACACATGTATTTTTGTGAGTTTCTGTCGTGATTTAGAGATAGAAGTTGTTGAAATTATAGTCCAGTGAGATCGTTTCATTTTTTTGAATTCTTTGATGCAGTTACTTCATTTATCAGTAACAACTTAATTTAATTTAAATTATCCTGTTAAATCAGCGTATCATTTTTGCGCTATGTTTATCACAGGATAAGCAAAACATAATTTCAACGTAGTTTAGCGTCGGTGTAACCTTGTAAAGTGAACTCCATAGAAAAATGACCCCGGTCATTATATTATATGAAATAGTGAACCCCTCCTTTAAAATACTGACTGCCTTATATATACGAGGGCTGTTCAATAAATACGCGGAAAAGTGTCGCTATTTCCTTATTTTCCAAGTTAGCTGAATAAAACTTATACCGTAATAGAGACAAACATATTTTGAAAATATACAGCAAATATTGCCGGTCTGGCATGAATCATATATAAACAAACGGTCGTTATGGTAACCACATGTAGCGATTACCGGCCCACTTTTGTTAATTTTTACAAATAGTCACTGGTTAATAATGACGTCGCATTTTAACGTTTACCGTGCGATTTTCACCAAACTTTGCATAATTTACACGCACATGATGTCATGTTAGTGTGAGTCGTCATTTAGGCGTTAAGCAGCCATATTGTTTAGTGCGTAGGCGTTAAAATGGCATCGGAACAACGATCTTCAATAAAATTTTGTGTTTTGAACGGGTTTACAAAGAAGGAACCAATGTTAAGATTACAAAAAGCATATGGTGATCAGGCGATGAAGAAAACAGCAATGTACAAGTGTTATGCCCGATTTCTAGGCGGCCAACAAAGCATCCATGACGACAAACGCAGGTGACGTCCCAACGTAACGTCAAATCACGTCGCTGTGATAAAGGAGCTGCTTGACAATGATCGTCGGATAACAATTCGCGAAATACACGAAAGATCGGATTGTAGCATTGGCACAGTGCATCGCATTATTCACGATCAACTCAATATGAGACGCCTGTGTGCCAGGTGGATTCCTAAAATGTTGACGGACGAACAAAAAGCGATTTCTTTCTGTTCCTGACACCGAAGAACGTCCTGCGGGGAGAACACTTTGATGATGTGGACGAGTTGTCCTACGCGGTGCAAGGTGCAATTTCAGAGATAAATAATGGCTCCTACTTCAATAGTTTCATGTCATGGATCAACCGTTGTAAAAAGTGTGTTTCCTTTCACGGAGAGTATTTCGAGAAGGACTAGGTGCGTGTTTTAAGTGACTCTCATACATGCGTTGAGCGTGACGTCGTTACGACGTTGGGCCGGTTTCACTGCGATTACCTTAGAAATACTTAAATTGTACTAATAATTTTTTTCCGATTTTATTGAAATTTTGTGTACATGTTTGTTATATGTTTATTTACAAAATATAAAGAGAACGTCAATTTCCCATGAATATTAAAAATATCCCAGCACTTTTCCGCGTATTTATTGAACAGCCCTCGTAGAATAATGACCCCTTATTTTATCTATAAACTATTACCCCCTTAAATACTATAAAGTCAATGTCATATTACAATTGCGTATACTTGTTGCTGTTGATGTTGTACCTGTTGCTGCTTCTGGTACTGCAACTGCTGCTGCCGCGACAACAGCTGACAAAAACAACGGTAAAGCTTAGAGGTCCCGCTAAGAAATAAGCGAACATGAAAATGAAGTTTAAAGTATTAAATACTAAATGCAAATTCCCTTTTCTGAAAGTGTGTTCATTTTCAGTGAGAACAAAGAGTTCAAAGCCAAGAGGAAGCAATCTTGTTTTTCTCTTTTTTTCATATTCTGCCTTCTTTAATGTAATTCAGTTGTATAGGCAATCATCTTTTTATAGGTAATAAGGTATTTCGACTGAGAGAAAAAGCAGTTCTTTATCACTTTATTTTGAGTACTGACATTTGAGATTTGATATAATAAGGAAGGCCGTTCCAAATACAAAATACAGAATAAACAAATGTCTTACAAAATTGTTTAGTATTTGGTATAGGGGTGTAAAGTTGAAAATCAGATGATGAACGCAAATGGCGATTATAAACATCTGACGATAAAATGAAATTATTCAATAATTATGAATTTATTCATGATTATTCATTATCTTAAACATCATAACAGCCGGTCAAATAGATGACAACAGAATCCCTTTTAAGAAGACGAACACGGTCAAATTGAAAATGTTGCAGGTTCGGTTTAATTGAGCCTGTTCATGGACAGCACTTGAAAACTGAAGTTACCGTCCACGCTCCCTAGCATTGGCTTAAGCAGAATTCAACAACAAACATTAATTAGATAAATTTTAAATTTTGAAACATCCGCAGATGTGTTCATATAGTGGTTATCATGGAAACTTTAATGTGACACGTAAGTGCCATTATTTGAAGAGCGGCATATGGTACCCAAGTAAAAAAAAATGTGTGTGCCCTAAACGAGCAAACGATAGGCGAAACTAAATAAACTGAAATTTTGAAAGTGGCTCAGAGGTTATGAATCCATTTATATTCTCCTGCAGACTGATTATGGTAGCTATCCACGAAAGTTTGACACAATTCCGTCCAATAGTAGTGAAAAGATCCGGTCAAATTGTTGCACTGATGCACGACACGCGCACGGACAAGTGACATTTTTCTCATCTGAGGATGATCATATTTACAGTGTTTCTATAAAGCCCAGTAAAGGCTTTATAGGTTGGGGTCGTTATTCTATAGAGGGTCACTTTTCTATGTGAGGGTCATTTTTCTACGTGTAGGGGAGTCATAATATCATAACACCCTCGCCGGTCATTATATTATGACCGGGGGTCATTATTTTACATAAAATATTGATCGGGAGTCATAAGTTTATGTGGGTGAGTTAACAATGTTACACCGGACCAGACAGATTTAAATTAACAGACATTAACCTATACTTTATGAAGGGATAGACAAAAAACAGAACAAGCTTACAATATCAATTTGTTAGAAACAATATTGTCTGATGAGTCTAAACATGAGTTAATCTAGAATTTGTTTATTCTTAGAAAAATATCGTTTCAAATAAAGCAGAAGAATTTAATACTAATGCAATTAAATTTTAATTTATTAACCACTAAATTTTTCAGGTTATTGTTATTTGAGATTTAATCAAACAAGAAAAATGTCTTCATTACATAATTAACTTAAAATGTAAGTTTTCAATACTTACAAAATATAATGCGTCCACAATTTAAATCGAGATTCTTTGAGTTATGCACTGAACTGCCAATATACAAGGAGCTGCACGATATATTTATACACCTGTCATTACAGCCCATAATTCAACAGTGCAACTTTATTGGGCGTAACTAGTCTTTTTTTCAATTTGTCACATAGTGTTTCTTAGATCCGCCTTCACGGAGTACATTGGAAAGAAGTAGTGTAATTTAGTGCATTATTGGTTTACTGAAATGCTTACTCTTTACTATAAATCGACAAAAAATTAATCAACAAATTAATCCCTCATCGACATAATGTTACATTTTTATTTCGAATAATAGGGTACCTTCAACTTTTGTTAAAAGGAAGGTAGATAGTGTTTATATGAGCGTCAATCAGGTAGGCAAACTGATGTATCACAGTGGAATCCAGCTCTGACAAGTTCACTGTCCATCTCTTAATAAGACGCAAAGTTTGATATTTCATTCTTATATTTCATTAAACATTAACGTAACGTCTACGTTTTGTGTATATCTATTGCATTGTGATGTTATACAAAACTAAAGTAAAATTATGTTCTGTTCCGATACATTCATAAAGGTGCTTTCAAAATAGAAGGGCTAGATTATCAAGCAGTGACTGATATACTTCTCAACTTTTGCTAAGCACCACATGTTTGAGTGTGAATATGTTTTGGGATAATTTTATTAACGTCGTGCGAAAGGTTTTAAATGTTGATTTACTGTTTTATCAATTCATCTGAATGACGAATTTAACCCTATAAATATAGTTTACACTGATTTTGTGCTAGAGAAGAGGATGACCCCTGTTTCGAAGAATTCAGAACATGAAGCGTGTTTTCCACATTTGTTAATTTGGATTTTTTGTTTACAGTTTTAGACTTAATACCGTGTGCGTGACCCGTGACAGCTTGGCGGTGCCTTTTCATACTCCCTATTAGGTTTCTGGTCGTTCTAACGGGTATGACTGTTTATTCTTGGACCAAAATGGCTTCAAACTCCTGGATGGTTCTGGGTTGCAGCTGACGAGCTGAAATTCTAACCTGCAGCTCATTCCACGTGTGTTCTATTGGATTTAAGTCAGGCGAGCGAGTTGGCCAGTCCATGAACTCAGTTAACCCCCTCTCTATGAAGTTCTGGACCACCCTGGTCGTATGAGGGCGAGCATTATCGAAAATTAGAATGAACTGATCGCCGACTGCTTCAACATTCAACCTAAATATCGCTGACCTGTCAATGCGCCTCTATTTAGAACAACCAGGTCAGTTCGTCCATCCCAGCTGATGCCTCCCCACGGGATAACTGACCCACCTTCGTAGCGGTCATGCTCTGCAATATTTGCAGCCTGAAACCGCTCACCTCATCTTCTCCAGACACTAGCTAGCCTATCACTGAAGTCTAGACAGAACCTGTCTCGAGTGTTGCATGGTCCAACGTGTATCCATTTCAAACGGATCTGGCGTTGTCGACACGTCAAGGGAATGCGTATGCAATGTTTTCTCGACCGCAAATTACCTTCATGCAGCCTTCTATGTACCGTCTGCATGGAAACACGGAGCCCGCAGCATAAGCAAACGAAAAGAAACTGCTGTCAAAAACCTTGAACGATGTGCCCGAACGACAAACAGCTGATCCTGAGCTGGTGTTGTGACCCTTTGCCGACCTCCAGCATGCCTCCTTGCGGGTATACCATGTAACAGGTATATCTTACAGGCTCTGGTGATGACGGTGTGGTGTACACCATGCGAAGCACTAATCTGGCGGAAGGTGATTCCTACTGCTCCATCCATACAACCCTCAATAACTCTACTTCTCTCAAATGCCGCCTAATGTTAGCCATATTGAAGTGACAGATGTAAGAATTGTAAGCCACTGAATGACAGTAATTCGGTAATTTCGCCGTATAACAAAAGACATGTGATTGTACACCCCATCAAAAACATGAAAATATTGGTTTGCATGCTTTCCATGCTACCTAGACGAGTTGTAACGAATTAGTCAACACAGATTCATGTCAGGGATCTATCCCAAAACATTGCTGAATCAGAATTTTCAAAACGTGGAAAGAAATCTGTTTTAAACTTGTGTTAATATAAAAATTAACTTATGGTGCTTAGCAAATGTTGAGAAGTATATATATATATAGTTTATATAAAAGGATAACTGCAAAAAGGAGGATAAATTTGTTAGAACTGGAATTGTATTATTTCATATAATATAAAGATTGTTTTTATCCTAATAACATTTTGAATATATTATGTTCAAATGTGTGTATAATTATCCTTCATGTAGAATCATTTTTTTAAATGTTTGCTACAACTGCTTTTTAATATGAATACAAATGTGGCGATACTGCAACAGCAAAACAAATTTAATCAATATCTGGTTTCTTTCATTTTCTCATTCAAGCATTTTTTATATAATAAGAGAAATTTCTTTTAAAAGTAGTCAAATGTACTTGTATATACGTGTAATAAATATCCTTTTGTTATAATGTAAACAATTTATCAACATTTATTTGCCTACAAACTTTATCCGATATTTTCCTATTGACAAGTGACATGCTTAAACGATATGTCACTATTGAGTAAGAAAAAATATGTCTAACCTTAGTGCAAGGTTTTGTGGAAGTATTCTTTACGTTTTCAGTAGTTTGGTAGAATACAATAAGAAAAAGCTCGATCATATTGATTGGATCTCTTAATTTAAACATGTTATTCAAAAAAAACAAATCGTTATAATCTGGAAACTTCTTTATAAATGAATTTCTATTAATTTGACGAAAAGGTCACTTTTTGAGTAAGATATCGGCTACAAACATTATTCGTGCATTTTTAAAAGTTTCAAGTAAAAGGAAATTCAATATGATGCATTTTAAAAAAAACAATAAAAGAAGTTTTAATTTACATAAGACGTTGTTCTAATAACTAATTCCTTGTATTCTTCTTTTGAATAAGCAAACAAATAAGGTTACGTTTTTTGTTAAATATTAGAATATGATAAAGGGTAAAGTTGAACATTAAACAAAAGTCTTGTACAAACACATCATAATGGTCATAAAATCACTCTGTATATAACCCCTAAAAACGATAATCTCTAAAAACCGGACTTCTTGCTAAGCTCGAACAGGGAGATTTTACTGTTTAAACTAGAGATTTTTTCCGGAAACGTCATCAGATAACAGTGTAAGATATTGAATAATAGTCCCATTTAGGAAATATGAAGATTTTTATCATCTTATCTGATATCAGGAAGGTATTAAGACCTCAGCTTTTACTATTTTAAATGATAATAAACATTGACAATCATATGAGTGTTGTAGTTATTTGGTATTTGAAAAAAAATAATAGATTATTAAACTCCTTCCACAGAGGTAATCTTTCCATTACTTTTTTCTTATCAAATGATAAACTGAAACGAATTACTATGATCGAAAAAATAAAAAAGGCATTCCTCTTTCAAATACAATTTCTATCTAATTATGTACTTAAATTTTATCAGCACTGGCATAAAATATATAATTTTCTCCGTTAAAACCATTTGCATTAGATGAAAGTTATGGAATGAGAAAGGGCGACAGCGACTTCTCGAGCCTTTTAGCCGGTCATAATAAAAGCCGATCGTTCCGATTCGTATGAGGGTGCTTGATTATTAATTAAAAATGAAATGTCGTGATATATACAATGAATAGCGAACTGGAGAATTTCGCAATGCAAACATTTTCAAATGCAATAACCTTTTCCCTCAACAAATAGCGCTCTTCGGGGTTTTTGATTTATCATTTTGTAGTACACAGTGGGTTATTATGGTATGTTATTGTTGTACATGTAAAAATGAGTTGATGACCTAAACATTCCGAAAATCTATTTATAGAGGGATGTACTCCTTGTCTCTCCCGGTCTATTTTGACCGGGATTTACTAGTGACCGGCGAATAGTATCACACGTTTATTGTCCGGTCTCTCCCGGTTTTGGAGTAAATGTTTGATCGTTACAGAATAGAACACATATTTTACAGATAAATAACCTTTTTTTTCCAAAATGAATGTTTGTCACTTAGTTTGGTTACAATAATTAATAAACACAGATCAACTCTCAAATTTATTGATTATTATTATACATAAACATACAATTCGAAAAACACCAACAACAATAGCATGTTTCATTTTATCTATAGGAGATAAAAACAATAAATATGTACAATAATTGAGAAAAAAGGTACATTTTTATGGTATTAATATGACACTTTTTCCAGTTAAGTTTTGACTTATATATAATCGTCGGTAAATATGACAATTGAATTCTTAAAATTTATTTCACAATTTTAATATAAAAGAGTAGTAAACGTAAAATCTCAGTATTAAAATAGCACATAAAACACAAAAAAGAAAAGAAAACAATATTCATAAAATCTGTATTTTTTTATTGAAATAGATACGAGGGTTGTCCAAAAAATTCGTGCACTGCAGTTATTGTCGTGTGAGTTATTGATGGAAAAACATTAATTATATATCAGTTGAAAGGGAGATATATCTTAAATAAGAAAACAAAAGAGAAAAACATGTAACCGGCATGTCCTGAAAACGAATCGTCATACAGTTACCTTGGTAACGAAATACCGGCGCACGACAAAAATTTGGGTTAGTTCATTACTTTGATGCATCACGGTATTCTTTAAACACTACATATTAACGTTTAAATTCAGGGAAAAGTGTGTGTACGTATTCCTAAAGTCACTAGAAAATATGGAGTCATTTGCCCTATTGAAGGAGTCGTAAACAAACATTTTTGTGTGGTCGTCAATACTGTAATTACGTGAAAATGTCAGTCGCTTAACGTCTGGAAATACGGACGATCATTAAATTTGGTGCAAATATTGGTAAAACACCAACATATACCTACAAAGAACTTGAAAGGACAAGCGGGACAAGTTCAGTGTCACGAAGGCTGGTTTTTAAATGGCACAAACGCTCTGTGGAAGAGAAAGATAGTCGGAAGACGATGACAACCGGTCAGGCAGACGTCTGTCCGTAATGCCGGCGCATGTGACGAAAGTTGTCCAATATATTTCTGCA